GTCTTTTTTATATCCTGTTTCAATGCATTTCATATCTTATCTAAAGCACTGTGAACTGCCTTGTAGTTGAAGGTGCTAGGAACGTCTGTTGCCTAGCCTTACCTTACAACTGTGCCTACCTCTATTATCATTAATAATTCTATGATTACCACCACACCTATGATTACCACTGTAATTTACCTGTTAAGGGTTTTGTACTTCACATAGGTGTATTCTGAAATACACACAGTTACTGAAACCAAAAGTGTATGAATCAGAATGAAAAAGAAACTACAACTACCACACACACAAAAAAATCCCAGTTTAACTACAATGAAGAAACAGCACATTGGAGCCCACAAACCATCATGGCATAGACTTATAGAAGGGTGTAAACAAGACATAAGATAGATCATACCATGCTTACATCCATTACGGGACACACTAAATAATTGTCCTTCAATTTCTGACTTCAGTTTTAAAGTAAGTTATCATAGTTTCTTTTAACTTTTCTCATCAATTCAACTTACATATTTTTTATCCAGCCATTGATTTAATGTTGTGGTCCCGTCTTTGAAGTATAAATGGTTATTCGGCCATAAATAAGCTACTTTTGTTTAACTTTGAAATGTACTTTACTGCCAAATATATAATCTACTGTCTCCTTAGTGCCACTGTGCTGCCCATTTACCACTCATTAAACAAAATTGACCATGACCGCCAGCCAAGTCAACACTCCGAAAAAGCTCCTCTTTACAGGACTTCATTAGACTTACCGCATCATTGTGTCCTCCAAACCAAAGTCCCATGTCTATCCAGAGAAAAAAAAAAGAGGAAGCTATTCAGGATTTTGAAGCCACATGCCATTAAAAGGCATCACAGCGGTCAAAAGGATGCTGCCAGTACCAGTGATTAAAACAACTGCTGATGATGTATCTTTTTTACAAAATCAAATTTGAAGTTGGTTAATGTACATTATTACCTCAGTGATGATTCGTGTTGAATCACCACTGCAGTGGATGCACACATGCTGGGGCAGTTTCCAGTGAAAGGTACAGGGGACGAGTCATTGGGCTTACTGTATCAAAAATTCGGGGGAAACCTGGAAGAAGGAAGCACAGTTCTTAAGAAAGATAAGAGATGAGGTTCTGGATCATTTGAGTCTTCAAAGTCCTTAAAGAGAAACACCTATCACAAGCTAGACCCCTTTTTTTATTTAATATGGGGTGCTTTGTATCAACATTTGAGGGTATACAATTATGACATGCTCCACACACCACAGACTTCACACTACATGTTCTAGCAATGCCAGCTCTTAGGTGCTTCCACGAATCCTCAAAAGTGGATAAAAATGTTTTGTACATGGAAAGATATGGATCATAATTTCATTATCTTTTCTTTAATTTCCTTCTGCAATGATGTAAGTGTGCAGACAAAGGTGTTCAAGCTGTAGGAAACAGATAAAAAAAGACTTAGCTGAGTAGTTCGCAGGAAACACCCTGGGATTTCTGTGTCTCCCTTGGAATTGTTATTCCGTACACCACAAACAATGCTTTGGAATCCTTACCTAACGGAATCTCATGCATGTCTTATCAAGTTCAGAAATTCAAACCCCATGGAGTCTCACCCACATGCTACTTACCCCTTTGGCTTCAAATGTCAAAGTGCCATTCTTGTATTTGAAACCAGTATTCAACAAGGATATGTGTGTGTCCTGATGGGATGCACTGGTTTTAACGTCACGCTACAGTTGCCCTTGGTTGACCTAAGTCAGCCTCCATGTCGGTTCCTATGTTTTCATTTACCCCCCACTGCCCCTTAAGAGTCAGTTTTATGAATGATGAACAGTGGTGACAATGTATTTTTTTTGGTAAACGTACAGCACTGACTCACACTTTATTCACACTCACAGACAGGTAAAGATTATCAAATGCCCTCCACTCTACATTGGAAATACACTTATCTCACAACACTTGTCCATCAAGATCATTTTTGGAACAACAAAACAGAGGTTAACATGCAAAGTCTCCCAGAGGGGAAGTACCATTAGAGATGACTAAGAAGAAGTCTGACTCATGTTGTGTTTTCCTCCAGGTAATAAAAGGGAAATTAGAGTATATCTTATAGAAGTATGGGAAAAACTATGTGACACAATTCCAAGGAAAGATAAAAGTGGTGCAGTTCAGCAGAAACCTTTAAAACTGCTGGAGGACAATTTAGGTGGGTGGACAACTGGGACTGCATTGCATCATGATTGTTCTGAGTCACCTTGAAGTGTCACAGTTTGGTCACAGGAGGGCGCCCAAATCCACAGCTAGTCTTGATACTGTACATGCAGGAAGACGCTTAATGAGAAGGGAAGAAAAGCAAATCACTGCCCTTGTCTGAAGCCAAAACAGTACTTTTCTTGTATTTTACAGTACTGATTGCTACTTGAGATCGTCAGTAAAGCTACCTCCATTCGAAAATTGATGCAGCTGAGTTTGGGGAAAGCTTCCTAATAAAAGTGGGCTTTTAAATGTCTTTTTTTTAAATATTCTTACAAAGTCAACAGCAGAGAAATAAAAAAAAAAAAACAACTTTCCAGACAATGCAATCTATTCATCTGACATCTGCAGGAAGTGTTTAGTCTTCTTTATGCAAAACAAACAAAAGAAATGTGAAGGCCTGTGCACATTTTGCATGTGTTTTATGCTTATAACTATCCACATCAGATAACTCTGATGACATCATCACAATTTTCTGTTCACACGCTATAAAACTCCCTCCATAGCCATACAAGTCATTGTACTACTGCTTTGACAGGCAAAGTAGTTGGGGAGAACTGGGTTGGTTGCCACACTTTTTACTTTCATTTAAACCCCTCAATAACTGTATCCTTAGTAGATTCCCTTTTAATATGTAACGGAAGCCTGAAGTGTCAGGTAGGAATGGAGTGATCATTTTCATTGACATGCAACAACCCAACCAGCTCATACACTGAGAAAACATAAGCAGGAAATGTCATTCTTATAAGGGCATTTTTCATCCTAACATAAAAATACAAAGAACAAAACAAAGCAAAATATATGTGACGATCAACCCTGGGGAGAATGTGACAAGCATCTACAATGGTGATTTTTTTCCGCAAGCAACTAAGCAAGGAACCACATGTTGAAGCGTAAGAAAAAACTATTTAAACAAAAGCTGTCTCTTCATACTTTTTCATGGTGGAATTCTTTCGTTATAAGGTCATTGTGTAAAAGCCAGTAGGAGAAACACTGACGAGCTGGATATGTACATTTTGACATAAAAAACACTGAAAGTCCTCTCACCTCAATGCCAAGTGTCTTACTTCTGAAATGACCCTGTTGGTGACCTCTGACCCCAATTCTGAAAATTTCAGTACCAATATTTTTTTAACGGCGCCCTCTAGGGAGCAAGATCTGCTGTGCATTCCAGTACCCATTCTGCTATACTATAGAGTATGCCAGAAAAAGATTTAGTATGTCCCAATACATAGTATGTCAAAGGCATTATGCCAAAAATACCAGGATGTTCTAATACATCCGGACCAATTTTTCAGTATGCAAGCCGGCATGCTTTTCTGGCTTTTCTGGCTATTCTGACCCACAATCTTCTGCACAGCGGACGATACATCACATCGACTGACCTGCAAACAGATGACAGCTGACTGACAAGTCGCAATGGTGGATGACGGTGCATTCAAGTTGCTGACGACTAGACAAACTGCAATAATTGGAATATTGATTGTTCAAGTGAACAAAATAATCATAAATATTACAAACAACAACAGGACATAACTATAAAAATAACAACAACAGAAATCCTGCTGGAAGTAGCCATCAGAAGATGGGTACACTGTGGTTGTAAAGGGATGGACACGGTCAGCAACAATACTCAGGTAGGCTGTTGTGTTTAAACCATGCTCAGTTGGTACTAAGGGGCCCAAAGTGTGCCAAGAAAATATCCCCCACACCATTACACCACCACCAGCAGCCTGAACCGTTGATACAAGGCAGGATGGATCCATGCTTTCATGGTGTTTATGCCAAATTCTGACCCTACCATCTGAATGTCGCAGCACAAATCCAGACTCATCAGACCAGGCAACGTTTTCCCAATCCTCTATTGTCCAGTTTTGGTGAGCCCGTGCAAACTGTAGCCTCAGTTTCCTGTTGTTAGCTGACAGGAGTGGCACCTGGTGTGGTCTTCTGCTGCTGTAGCCCATCTGCTTCAAGGTTGGACATGTTGTTGGTTCAGAGATGGTCTTCTGCAGACCTTGGTTGTAACCAGTGGTTATTTGAGTTCCTGTTGCCTTTCTATCATCTTGAACCAGTCTGGCCATTCTCCTCTGACCTCTGGCATCAACAAGAGAACATTCACCCAGAGAACTGCCGCTCACTGGATATTTTCTCGTCTTCAGACCATCCTCTGTAAACCGTAGAGATGGTTGTGAGTAAAAATCCCAGTAGATCAGCAGTTTCTGAAATACTCAGACTAGACCGTCTGGCACCAACAGCCATGCGATGTTCACAGTCACTTAAATCACCTTTCTTCCTCATCCTGATGCTCGGTTTGAACTTCAGCAGGTTGTCTTGACCATGTTGTAAAATGTGCTAACAACTCCATCAGTGTGTTATAAACCACTTTTTACTTATCAACGCTATATAGCTGGGTTCAAATAATCTACCAAATATTAAATACATCAGACAGTAATGTAAAACCAGCAAACACATTGTTGCATATTTGAATTATCATCTTTATTTGTTTTATTATATACTTTGTGTTTTTACATAAAGAGACATATTTCTTTTACACATATAGATTATATGGTTAATTTGTATCTGTATATATGTACACCTTAAATAAATCTTACATCAACACCAAGAAAATAAAACATTTACAGTGCAATAATGTTCATTAGTAGTCAACTTTTACGGTTGCTTACCCTGGTAAACCACAATTGTTGATGCCAAGCTCACATGTTAAACCGCTTTGCCTTTTGATTTTTTCCGTTCTTTTTTTTTTTTCTTCTCACCATCCACGCTCTCACATAAAAACACCATAGGAACAAAAAAAGGTCTTGACGGGAAGGTTTTTCAGAATGAAAGTGCAGAGGTTCTGTATGAACATGTGACAACTGTGGTAGAAAATTATACCTCGACCTGCTAAAGCAATAGTTAGACATTTTGGGAAATAGTCATAGTAATTTTCCTACCAAGAGTTTTGCTGTGTTCACAAGAGAAGTCCATCGCTCCCCTCTTGTGGTATTCACAATCTTTGGGAGAGTATATTTTCTGCAAGCTCAGAGTCCATGAGCTGTGACGTACATGCTAATGATTCAAAATGGTGGAGGCCACGTAAGTTAATTTCTTGGTGGATGGTTGTTAATATATTGTCATTTTAGTCATATAGAGGTTTTTTTTGTCCAAGGAAAATCTCAATATTCCCAAAGGCCTCATCTTTTTCCTCTCTTACTATGCTTTTGCATGTCCTGTATTCGTTACCCACCTGCTAGCTTGCTTAGCATAAATTGCACACACAGGAAACAGGGGAAACAAGTAGCTTGGCCTCCTTGGCTTGCACATAACCCCATGTAAAACCATGTCATTTTTTGTTTTGAATAGATTAAAGAAACTAGATAAAACCTGTTAATTAGTGAGCTTTAGAGGGGATTTTGTTTCCGTCACATAGAGCCAGGCTAGCTAACGTTAGTTTCCAGTTTTGTAGCCTACTATGATAAGCTAACCAGACACTAGCTCTAGCTTCCTTTTTACTGCATTGACATGAATGTGTGGCATCCATACTGTCATCTAACTCTCAGCAAGAAAGCAAAAAAAAAAGAAAAAAGGTGCATTTCCCAGAGAGGTGTGAGTAGAAGCCAGAGGTGAGGTGTGATCATGTTAATGAGAGTGTGTGGGCGCTCTGAGGGAAGAGCTTAATGGCAAATGTGTGCAGGAGCATTTCACAAAGTACATGAGTCATCACAGAGGTTTTAAATTGACTCTTTGAATCTCTGGGTTGTGGAAATGTTCAAGGAGATGTACTACATGCGAGCACACCGCACAGTTACAGTTTAACATATGAGTTTGGTTGATGTGGGGATCGTTGTTTTCTTTGACCTGTGCATTAGCAATCTTTGCCAAACGTCAGAAAACAGTGGCAGCATCGATAACTCCTTCTCTTGTTGAAGTCAAAGAAACAATGTGGTGTTTAAAACCCTCATTTTCTTACCAGAACCTGAACGGGCCTGTTTATAGAGTAAAGTATGTTAACGAGATGTTGAGTCGTCTAAAAATAAATGCTCTTGAGTTTTCTTTTTGCTCAATAATACCATGATACTAAAGGGCCTTCGGCGTATCATCATCATTCCCATCCACTTTTACAAAAAAAGAAAATAAATAAAATACATGTGTGAACCATCTGGTTCTTGCAAAAAAAGGAGTGTATATTTACAAAGTAAAACCTATAAATTCTTGGTGTTTGTTTTTCTGAATGGATGCATAAAAGTGAACATATATAGTTGGTCTAAGCTCAGCTGTACAGTCAGTGGGTAACCAGCCCATAATCCTCGCATGCATTTTTCCTCACACATTCAGAGAATCTATTTACTATTATTTTACAGTTACTACGCTGCTGTACAGAGGCTGTGTTGAGGTAAAGCGGGTGTTTCTGGCCAGCTCTAACAGGAAGGGGTTACGGAGAAATGGTCGCCCACTTCTTTTCTTGTGGGGTGTGGGTGTGGGGGGGGGGGGGGGGGGGGGGGGGGGGGGGGGGGGGGGGGGGGGGGGGGGGGGGGGGGGGGGGGGGGGGGGGCACGTCGGACAGGAAGGACAGCGAAGGACAGACGTATGGAGGGGGATGCGATTCTCGACGACGACACACACGGTATATTGCTGTTAAATTTGTGATTTCCACATTCTATGTAGCTTAAGGAGAAGTTGTGATTATGATTTCTATCTCCAGTATAAAACACAGTTTGGTGTATTTTTTTTTTTTTTTTTTGCAATTAGTTGCAAAATACTGGTAGTATAACCTCTAGTCATAGATAAATATAAGGAATGGTCATTGTGTGATGACTTCAAATGCAGATTGCACACATGCACACAAAAGCACCTTTGATTAGAAAAGAAATTGCACAAGTTTGATAGATATCATTGACCATACATCTTGACACTTTCTACATAGAGACTGAGCACTGGTTTGCATTAAGAAGTTATGAAACATGTTTGAAAAAGTGTACATTTTGGTATACAACTTCTTAAATGTCGATTGGTATTATTCACCTCCAAGTGTCTATTTTTTACATGCAGTTGACTCCTTGAAACTACGACCCCAGGAGCTTGACTAGCCGGTGAGTTGAGCCCAGTTCTACTGTGAACAAAGCACTACACATTGACTAATCTAAATCAACCATGACGCTTAAACACTGTTAAGTTATTTTTTCAAATGCATTATTTTGACATTGACTTCATTACGGAACTTTAATGAGCCTAAAGTACTCATGCCTTTTTTTTCCCCAACCAGTGAAAGATATTGAAGGCTAGCGTATATTTTGAGAGGCTAAACTTCAGTTAGGCGCTTTTTTTTTCTCTCTTGCCTTTGTCAGTCGGTGCGTGTGAAGCATGAAAAGTTCTGTACAATCAGAACGTGTGTTCATTGGTAAAAGAGGAGCAGATTGTCGAGATGGCTCTACATGAACTAATACTGCTACAGTACATCTAAGGCTACATCTATGTATTTCATGAAAATGAATCCAAACATTTAAAAAAAAAAAAAAAAAAATCCTCTGAAGAAACATTCAGTGGTGAAAAATGACATCCGGCAGGGGAGAGGGGAAGCTTAAACTCGTCATTCAGACTGAGCGCGTGATGAATTTGCAAATAAGAAATAACAAAGAAGAAGTTCGTCTGCCCGGCGAGAGTGTTTCATCCCTTGTTGCTCAGGTTGCTCAGAGTCTTTTCGCTCGATACCATCAGACGGGAAACACATTTCACCCACACAGTCTGCCATTTCCTCATCCACAAACTCCTATTCACTCTTGGCTACAGCGTCTTTTGTGTTCAAATATTCTCATAATTTCAGCTCAGCCACTGCATTTATTATCAAGAGTTTTATACAGTGCATCTCGTTTTCTTCCCCAAAGTTCACAGGAGGTCATTCTCCTCAACCTACCAGGCGTGGTCTTGATTCCAGCTTGTCTAGTGACACTAATGGCATGTATAATGCTTCTATATTTGGCTGATACACCTATAAACTCCCCCCCACCTGCCAATTAAATAATAATAATTATAATAATAAATAAAAATCCACTCAAGTTAGGCCTATGCTAAACCAGCCAAGCCAAAGTCTTGTGCCCTTGTTGGTGTCACCCCTCCCTGCCACCACCTATTAACTAAAAATATGTAGAGCCCATATTTTTTCATATTTTTTATATTTTCTTGTCCAGTCGTCCTTCTTCTTCTTTTATTCCTGGGGTAAAGGATCACAAGGGTCAGGTGAGAGCGATGGCAGACAAGAAGGATGGTCGTGTCGGTGGTGGTGGTTGTGGTGGTGATGAGGGATTTGGAAGTGGGTCCTCGAAGGTCCTCAGACGGACACCGGGCAGGTTATGACCTTGTCCTCCAGCATGACGCTGACCACCAGGAAGACGAAATACAGCATGAACATGATGAAACCCAGCAGCTTGCTCATGCGCCACTTGCAGGCGGCGATGGAGATGATGACGAAGAGGAGCATGATGAAGAGGAGCACGATGGCACAGAAGAGACCATTGGAGCTGACTTGCACCGGTTGCAGGTTCCTGAAAAGGGACCACAAGAGCCAGGGGAACGGCAGTCTGCGGATACACAAACACGCGTTACAGGCATTAAGCAGTTATGCTTTATGTAATTAGACTCAACAATGACTTGTTTTTCGTAATTTTGGCAAATTGTAAGGGGTCAATCCAAGTTAAAAATCATTTCCTGGCTAACAAGGATGCTGAGAATAATAAGCAGGCTTGTAAGGCTAGATGTTTTTGAGACAGTTTTCTCTGGTCAAGACTTGTTTTCCAGCTGATATCAGGTTGCTCACACTCAGCAGAGCATAACATAATGTTCACATAGATAGAATGACACTCAGTGAGGCACAGTGTGACAACGATACATGTGTAGCTCAGATTAAACAATATTAAATACCTGCAGCTTCATCTCTTACCTTTCTGCGGTGATGTAAGTGGGATTTTATCGGCACGTACCCACCATATCTACGCTGTCGTTATATCACAATTACACACTATGGGAAATATAATTAAAGCAAAATAGAAACTGGGAAACATCAATGCAAAAACTGCATCATGGGTATCTTTGGGGGTCTACTGGTAACCGCTTTCGTCCATTACGTATATAGCAAGCTGTGGAGGTGTACTGCAGTGTGTTTGCCTTATATTCAGACAGTTCTGTCAACTTGTTGCGCTCGTTTCCATCTTCATTTTGACATTGCATCCACTCTTACCGAGTTCTGTGGCGGAGGGGTGTTCGATTTAACTAACCAATCACTTGAGACTGACCGATCTGCCTGGCTCTAATGTCATTTTAAGTCGACAATGATGTGTAGCCGTGGCAACAGACTGGTTTTTCTGGGGTTTCAACAGTGGAGCAGAGCAAATTAAACCCAACTATAATGTCAGGCGATATTGAGAAGGCATGTCGATTACGAAGATCCTCGATGGCGGCGTCTATTACGTCTCTAGCGCTTGCCATTGTTGTACGATATTGAGCTTTTCAGCAGGTGCATACCAGATTTCACTGCAAGCGTTGTATCCCAATGATAAACGAAATGGCGCCATGATTTCTCCTCTTTCAATCTCCTTGTAGTGTTTCAGGAAATAGCCATATGCTTGCGCTGACACTCCCGCCTACTTGTGTTTTATATTTTACCGACTAACTTTGGTAGTCTTATTTCCGCAAGCGTTTTTTTTTCTGGCATATGTATGGCTTTAAAAACAGCACAGACTCAAATTGTGCTTGGATACCGTACCCAACAGTAATGTCGAAGATGTTGGAGCCTACGGAGCTGGATACAGCCATATCCCCCAGCCCCTTGCGTGCCACAATAACACTGGTGATGAGGTCAGGGATGGAGGTTCCAGCTGCTAATATAGTCAGGCCCATAATCTCCTCTGTAATCCCAATGGTCTCTCCAACCTGCAAAAAAGAAAAAAAAGGAAACTAAGCTTTGGGGTAAATAAAACCTAATCTTTTGTTCTAGCTATTTTTAATTTCGTCGTGATGCTTGGGAGCTGATAGAGGTGACAAAACTCCGGCTCTGACAGTCTCTTTGTTTTGAATAAGACAGCTGTAATTATTTATGAGTGGGTGGATTGTAGAATATGGTTTTATCTTAAATGTCAAAGATGGGAAATGGAGAGAAAAGACGACTGCGTCTTCCCTTTGTCTTTTTGACAAGGATTATGCTTATGTTAGGATTTTACAATGCTCTGGGACTGCTGTCATGATCACATTCTGCAGCACACAATTATTTTTACAATGTCATGTCCTCGGGAGTCTCTGCGTACCTGGTGAGCCCACCACACCATTAGGTAGGAGAAGCCCGCAATCCAGGCGATGGCACCCAGGAAGGTGATGGGGAAGAACTTTTTTGATGCCTGAAAGAGAAAGAACAGAGAGCGAATTTTGGATTTAGCAGCAAACACACAAATACAGACACTTATCCATCTAAAATGCCTTGAGAATGAGAACTTTGTCTCACACACCGTCTTTCTGACGTCAGGCAGCGTCAGCCACAGGGGAAGGACAATAGGCATGATTAAGAGGTAGGTGAAGCGCTTGCGGTTGGACTCGGGCCAGGACAGGCTCAGAGGCTGGTCCTCCTCCTCCTCATCCTCCGCCTGTGAAGAGACACCAATGAACAGTAACAGGGAAAAGGAGTTAAAGGTTACAAAACATTCATCTGAATAGGTAGTAACACTTAAAACAGTAAGCCATGTCATATTTGGGTGTCCGCATAACATGAGAGTAATCAGCAGGGGTCTCGTTTATAAAACAGTGCATAGGATACTTAAAGTGTATGTGTGCAATTTCTTCTCATATAAATCCCCCCCAAAACTTGGAATCATTGGCATGTGGATTGTAAGCTGACCAAACGTCCTCTTTTGCCCGGACATGTCCACTTTTCACGTCCCGTCCGGGGCGTCCGGGGCATCCGGGGGGTTTTTATAAACTGATGATAATGTCTGGTTTTCCGTGTGTTTGTGTGTGTGTTAGAGTGCGGCACGGGCAGCATACTTCTGTCCAAACCCGAACCGAGCCCGACATTATTTAATTACTAAAGCACTGAGTTTGTGTCACACAGTTGTTACGGTTACAGGCTATTTAACAGGCCGGGCGTGCGCCGTGGGTGCTCAGCTGCGGAGAGGGAGACCTCCGTGTTTGAGACGGGAGCGGGAGGCGGGAGGTCCGACGCTTCCAGCGAGGGGAGAGGGAGAAATAAAACAAAATAAGATAAAATAGGAAAAACCTGTCTCCCTCTTTTATTTTATTTTCAGCGTTTAATCAAGGCGGAGGCGGGCGGCTGGAGGTCCGAGACTTCCAGAGAGTGGAGAGGTAGAAACAAACAGCCAGTGTGTGTCTGTGTGTGTTATGTTCAGGTGTTGTCACGTAAATAACAGTGCCCAAGCAATAAACAGGACAGACAATAGGATTTTATTTATTTTTACACCACATTTTCACTGAAAGTTGACCGAATCCGACCCAAGCCCGAATACAATTTATACATTTTTGACCAAACCCATCGGGTACCGTAGGGCTCGGATCGCGACACTCTAGTGTGTGTATGTGTCCCCTATTGGGGCCTATCTGAATTTCTGTCTTTGAGAGATATCATTTTGTAATATAACTGAATTTTCTATCATACATATAAATTTTAAATATATTAAAATTATAAGGCATCTTTGAGTAAACTGCGAGTATCATTTAAGTAGGCTATCTCGTGGCCGGCTGAGTGTCCTCTTTTTTGTAAATCAAAATATGGTCACCCTAGTGGCCTAGTTGCCCACCACACACCTACATTCAACCATGAATGAATGGTAATGTTGATGCATAAAAATAAGCCTGATGATCACTGGTTCTTAACGGTGAATCATGGTAACAACAGAGGCACATTCACACCAGGATAGTCCGGGGGGTCTTGGTTCGAAGAATTTCCGTAACTTTCACACTGCATTTTTTAAACCAGACTAAACAGCCTTGACAATGTCACGCAGTTACAGTTTTAACAGCTGCTCGTTTGGGGGGCGGAATTGCCCGAAACAACCACTGACCAGGAAGAAAAATAAAGCATCAGAAAGAAGAAAACCCGGCTCACCGATTGGCCAGGACTGAAAACACAAATCCATCCTCTTCAGCCGGCTTGGTTGCCACAAAAACACCAAGTACCAAAATGCAATGCGCTCTACGTCACTTCCTCTCTTTGGTTCACTTCCTCTCTTTGGTTCGCTGGATAGACCGTTTGCATTTCCCACTTTAAGCGAACTGCACCAGGGACACCGAAGTACTCGTTTGAGGACACTGGGACTTTATCATTGTATCAATGCAGCGTGGCTAATTAGGTGCGACAGACTGTTCCAAAAAATTCATCCAGAGCTACAAACTAAACAAATCACAAGGCTTTTAGCTTATAGCGATTTTACACACACACACACACGCACACACACTCACACTCACACACACAGAAAAACTGTCTGTAAACATATCTTGGTGAGATACGCACAATATTAGACGCTAATTTTGAAAACTACTGACACTCAATGTGTCAGTAGTTTGCAATGTTTTGATGCTATTTGGCTGTGGTGTGCTCCACAGCTGACCAAGAGTATCAGCAGCATACAGTCTGACCCTCTCCTCTCCTCTGCACTCTGGGAGAGGAATGTGATGGTGCGACAGTGCTGATGAAATACTGAGCAGAGTTTGACTTGAGATTTGAGTCGGCTTATAGTCTTTGCATTTAAAGGTGCTTATGGAAGAGTTACGGCTCAGTAGCACAACTAACACTGCTAGATTCAACGTTAATGATAAAGTGGCTCTGTAAGAAATGCGTGGGAGACTTCCATATGCATAATGATTTCTCTCACATTTAACTTCAGCCTGGCTTCAATGCACCACCTTACCACCTGCGTCACCAATCCTGTCTTCAAAATGTTCAAACCCATGGATCAAAGTTTGTGTACAGGTGTGTACTTTCTCCCATCAAGTGTTTTTTATTAGATTCCAACTTTTGTGTGGATTACAACCCAAGTGTCTACTTTAGCTTAATAACTTGTCTCAATGGGACACACCTCCCCATAGCAACTATCCAGAGACGTAGGCAGCACTCTTGCAACACCTCAGGGGGGAAAAGACAGCACAGAGGTCTGCACAAATTGATGGCAGGACCTGGAAGTGCATGTGCCTTTGCTCTGCGGTGACCTTAAGACAGAGGAGTCTGATGACTGTGATTTGGGAGATTGCATCGAGCCTGAAGGGCCCGTGCCTCTCCAGTCATCAGGGGCTCATCACTGCTGACTGCTGATGCTGGCTGCCCTGGCAGACCCCTGGGGTCTGATTGGACCTGCCACTGGAATGCCAAGTGAGCCAAAGACTGTCACCTCACTGCTGATCAGTGTCAAATGAGCTGTCACTGTCCGAAGATGACACATGCAGAGGCGCTAGCAACAAAGACAACTAGATCATCTTTTCATTTATGGCGTTTGTGCTTACCGCTGCAAAAGGACACTCCTCAATTAAAAATTCTAGTACTTGTAAACTTTAATGGTTCAACAACAAAGCCTTCTGAGAGCGGAAACATGTCTTGGGTCCCTTTGTATCCAATTATACAGGATGCTGAGGAGCCATGGGGACCTGCGGAGAACAGGTCCGCACATGCAGATCTGAGCAGAACACACTGATGACCTAGAATTTGTCTCTTGCCCTTTTGAGAGTGACGTTAGCCAAGGTGTAAGAAAAAAAAAAAAAAACAGGCAACAAAGAGGTGCAGAAAACATAGACCAGGCACAGAGGCATACAACAGGGCAGATGTTGATAACAGATGTTGCTCAGTAAATAATAATTTCCTCAAGAAAATCATTTAACAGCTTCAATCACATCAGCTGAACATGCCCGCAGAGCAGAGCAAGAATCTTTCAAGATGGCTCCTGCACGAATCATGAATCATATGGAGCTTATCCTGCTGTGACAGCTACTGCTGTTGAGTATTGCCTGGTAACCTTGGTAATCAGAGCTGCCAAACAAAAGGCAGCGCTTGCATCACTTATGCTCAGCATTCTGATTTCTCCTCCTCTCCATATCCAGATGGCTGCATTGTTGTCTGTTGAAAGGCCTTAAACCAAAAACCTGAGGCTTCAGTAAGATCAATTATGAACCAAATCCACTGCTTTTTACAGATGTAAAGATATGAGAGGTTTTCATCGGTGTTACTATGTGTGTGTGTGTGTGTGTGTGTGTATGCAGGATAATAATAGCAACGACAGCTTCTTCATAAGTGTTGCATTGTACTGCAGTTTGCCCAGCAGCTTTTTCATGGATATGTTGACTGCATGCAGGTGACTGTTTCTGGCTGACACTGCACACTGTGCGTCTGTCATTTGTCTATTTATGCTTTACTTGCTTTCTCTGCTAAAGTACCCCATAGAGATGGTGCTCCCTTCTCTGAGTTGGTTCCCAAATGCCAGCCCCTTGGGGGCCTTTCCTGCCCTGTGGTGCCTCAGTTGGCAACACTGCCAACTCTGAGCTTAAAGGCACTGACTTTTACCAGGCACCACAGAGCTGCAAGGGGAGGCGTGACATTTGCTATTTCTTTTTTTCCTTCCCCGAGGGAAACGTGTGCACTGGCACCTGGTGTGAGGCAACAAAGCTACAAGAGTTGAAATGGTCACAAAAAGTGTAAGCACATAAGCACGGCTGCAAAAGAGGCTGCGCCCTGATGCATTTGCATCACTTTGTTGATCCAACTTTTAATAGGGGGGGCAGAATGCAGCCACTTACATCAAATTACCTTTCTTTTCTTACACTTGTCCAATCCTCTCTCTGAATATGTTCATGGTAATCACACAGCACAGGTGCAACAGCTGCGGTGGTGTGCATATCAGCATCTGCTATTTGGATTTTTTTAGACATAGAGGCTCCATCTGGATATAATACTCTGCCATTATTTAGTGAGAAGGAAAGATATTCAAATCTGATGTTACTTCTTCCCCGAAACAAACATGATGCACAGTGTTTCCCCCAAATGGTTTTAGTTGTGATAGAGGTCGAGATGAGTCACAACTTCCTGTTGGTTATAATTTACTTTAGGTCTCCAGTATTTTATTTAAAGAAGTGGCTACAGAAGCTTTACACTCTCATAAATATTTAACGTGTGCTGAAAGTAGAAAATCCTGAATATATTTTTAACGGAAGCACAATTTGCTGCGAGTCAAACCCTGAATGTGCTCACTGTTCAACTTAACAAGAAAAGAGCATTGAAAAATTAGAACTGGGTGAATGTTTATTTTGAAATATTGAATTTATGAAAAATAAATTCTTAAATTCTTTAATTTCTGCTGTTTGGGGGTGTATTGCAGTGTATGATCAATTTCGTCAGCACAGCTCTGAAAAGGTTTCAACAGCAGGAAAGGGAGTCAGGAAATTGTCCTAGAAGTCTGCTGCAGATTTGTAATGTGACCTTGACTATCCCCCTATTCCCCAGTCTTGGTTGCCAAGGCATCCAGGAGGAATTGAACAATTAGTATGACGGTGCCTCTGGCGGCTTATGAAGGTGTGAGCTGTTTCTAGCTACTTCCTGGCTGACAAAGACAGGTGCACTGTGGGACACACCTCTAAAAATAGCAGCATGTGGGATTCAGGCACGCCAATAAGCGGATAACCAGATCTCCCAAATTCAGTGAATCACCATCTGGAAAAGGTGTTTCTAAGTTTCGAGGTGAGTCTAAAATTTTTTCTTACGCTTGCTTTATTTTTACAGGCGCAAATATTTTCATCTTTGAAGGAGTGATGGCAGTTTTATCTGTAAAGACTATTATTAACCTAAGAGTGAGAGATCAATCTGAGAACAACTTGGTGCAGTGGAACAGATCAATACACACATGGTCATGTTGCAAGGCAGGGCTCATCTTAAGCAGTTTCTTGTGCAGTCTATTCTGAGAGCCTCCTATATGCCTCCACTCCAGCCTGCTGTATTTATAGACTACTGTATCTTACCTCAGAGGAATGCTGTACAAAGTGCTACATCTTTTTTTTAGGTGCAGGAAGATCTTACTTTTTACTCTGAATACTTTGGATACTAGAGCAATGTTTTCAAAGACTGGGGACTAGGACTCTGCAATATTAACAATCCCTATAGTTTTGTGGAGACTTTTGAATGCAAAACTACTGGTCACTACTGCTCAAAAAAATAAATATAAAATAATATGGTGGTGTTGTCGCTTAACCTGCATTAGAGTCACCCATATAACAGTTAATTATTCAGAAAATTAGTTTTAGGCCTTGATAAAAAAAAATGCATGTGTAAATGTGTAGAGCTGATATTTTAAATAATAAGTGAAAAATAATTTTGATGGCCATACTGAGGACATAGATTTATAAGAAAAAGAAGAAGCAAAGGTATATACAATTGAACCCAACTAATTAACTAAAAACAATGGCTCATTTAAAGTTAAAATCCTGAGATTTTCACCATCTCAAGCTCACTTTTTTTTAGCTATTTATGGCTGGCTATGGCCATTAAATGTATTTACACCCACTAGTTCACATCTTTAAATAGCAGTATGCACTGTCAGTGGAGAGTTCACCACTGCTGCACTAGATTCAAATGGCATGCACAAGGGATTCACAGGAAACCAAGCATGCACGTACTGGAGGAAAGAGCCGACTCTTGTCTTCCAAAATTCACCTATGTCATGAAATAATGGCAGAAAAAAAACCCAGAACAGCCAGTCCTGGGCATTTTTAAAGGGAAACACAGTGTGTTTGTGTTTGTGTTTGTGTGTGTGTGTGTGTGTGTGGGGGGGGGGGGGGGGGGGGGGGCAATATAGGAATAAAGTTACACAAGTTGCTCAGCTTTAAGTAGCTGCTCACACTGCATTTTTTGCCATCAGTGATCGACAGAACTCTGGGACTGAAGACGAGCCCACACTACAAGATTTTTCAAATCTGTTTTCAAACATGAACTCTCTTAAACTTAAGCAAACAAACATGGTGGATGAGAGGCAGGAACACCAAGCTGTCAGTTTTTGGCTACTTTTAACAAAAAAATCACCAACAAAAAAGTTTAAAAATATGGATTAGATCATGAGGACAAGCGTGAACATGGCCTGTACATATTCCAACGTGAGATGGAGGTAAGAAAATTCTGAGTTGAATCCCGTTTCATATCGCATTAAAACCATACACTATATAAAATAATGGACGTAGCTACTGTGACGTCACCAACTAATTTGTGGACTCCCGCTGTGAGCGTTTCGGTCGTCACCATCTTGGTTGTTTGGAGCCAAAGAGACCATGTTTGGACGAGTGGATAGAGCTGTGGATGAGCAAGGGGATCTGATGCAAAGACCGTGGTGGCCTCGAAGACAGCCTGTCAATCATGTGGCCATGCCATTAAGTATGCCTAACTCTGGGCCTTAATAAAATTTAAACAGATGAGTTATATAAAACACCCCCCCCCCCCCCATACAGTTGTCATGAATGTTGAAATTAGCTATAGAGACCAAAAGTGTTTTTAGTACCAGGCCACTTATAAGTTGGGCATTTTAGCATGGGGCTCAATGGGGATTGACTCTCCAGCCTCAAGTGGCCATTTGATGAATTACAGTTTTTGGCACTTTCGCATTGGCTTAATTTTTCAGCCTCAGAGGTTGCTGCTCTATTAAAACTCTCTGAGACATGAAGGACCTCCAGCGATCCTCTGGGACTTCCAAGCAGGTCAGTGGATGTAAAAAATACCCTTAACCTCACACCTAGAAATCTGGCAAGATAATCGTTAGAACCGTCAACAAATCTGAGCATTGCTGACGATTGTCATAAGGAGTGGAATCAGGCCAAAAACAAAGTTAAAAATACTTTTCTGCTTCATGGCTGCAGGATTCAGTCTGTCCTGGGGTTACTCTTGGTCAGTGAAACGAGTGAGAATCCAGCAGGATGACCGACACGCCTGTTTTCTCTGTCTGCTTCCCTCTCAGCGTGCGACTTTGAATTGCTGCCCTCTTGCCCCAGGACCGTCTGCTGGCCTGGCGGGTCGCTGTATCCCACCATCATCGCTCATGCCAGCACAACTTCTGCAGGTGCCATTCTGAGGCCTGGCTGTATGTCAAAGACTGTGTGTGTGTGCGTGTTGAGGCGTGTGTGTGCGTGTTGAGGCATGTGTGCGAGTGTGTTCACTTCGAGCACCCAGCGGCGGGCAGCAGCAGGTGAGTGAGGAGTGTGATTACAGAACTCAGTGGGAGGAGGCGGGTCTTTGGCAGGTCTGGCTGAAGATGGAGGAACTCGCGCGAGTGCATGCTGGGAAATTATCAGCAGTAGTGACCTGTGCCATAGTCAATGCAACCTTTGCATCAATCACATTCAAGGTGGAACACAGACACAGACGAGAGGCATAAAATATCCACAAATGGTTCTCAAACGTTAATATCTGTCTCAGGTTTTCCTGCTTTGTCATAACACGACGTGTTAATTGGATATGGGATATTTTTGTTTTGTCTTGTCTGTATGCACTGTGATTTCTTACCGTCTCCCCCTCTTGACCTGCTGTTCCGTTCATGGGTGGTGTCACTTCCACTTCCACGCTGGAGCTGTTTGGAAGGTTCTTATCTGTGGGAAGTTTAAAGGATAATTAAAATGAGCAGTGTTTAAAGGAAATAAAGCCGGCATCGCCTCAAATGGACATGAGAGTGTCACCTATGACCCACTATAAGTGTGTAGCAGTGTATTTATCTGCAGACTGTGCCCTCTGCCTGTATTTTCTCTCAGTCGTGTACTCCCACAGCACTCAGGTGAGGTCGGGGCTTTACTTCAAAGTAGCGGCCAGGTGCCCAACTGTAATCAAGAGGCATCCGAGAGACAAAGTGCTAAAATAATGCAAATATAATGAGGCGAAACACCAAATGAGAGTGAGTCTGTGGTCTGCTTTTACTTTCACTTTCGCAGGCAAGTGTGTTTACGAACAGTACCCAACAATCATGCATAGTATACATTTTGAGTCTATCTTTTTTCAATTGTTTTCAGTGAGGACAGAATGTATGTGGCCACCACCTAGAGAAAAAACACTGCACCCAACGTCCCTGGCTTTTTTTAAATGTGGCCACTGAGAGCACTTCCGAGTTGAAACTCTGAACTTCTCAGACAGGTATCGGCGTTGTCAGTGCTGCTCCTCACAACAGAGACAAAAGAGCCAATTTGTGGGAGGAGCTGACCACTGGATGTTGCTGGTAGTTGTGAATTTACATCTGGCGCCCCCAAGGGGGGGATATTAGAACTGCTGCCTCCTGGCAAAAATAATTGGAGGTTTATCTAAAGCCCTGTTTCCACTGAGCAGTACGGTACAGTTCAGTTCAGTTTGGTACGCTTTTTTCTGTTTCCACTGTGAAAAGTTGTGGATTGTACCAATGGAACTTCTCCATACCGTCCCCATTTTTGGTCCCCCCTCTGTTGGGGTACCTAGCACACAGATCTGGTACTAAAAGGTGGAGCTGTGAACACTGCAGTCTGTTGACTGGTCAATAGCGGACACTCACTCTTGCTAAAGGCTGAGTTATGGCTGGTTTTGAAGCTTTTATAACCACTGGTCATACCATGGAGAGTTTTATTAGTAAACTGTAACTATAAAATGAAATGACGTTTCACAGAAAAGTCACAGAAAAAATAAATTCACTGGGCCGACTGCCGGCAACTTTTAAGGTGGAACGTTGACTTGTAATGTTACTCAATGCATGAGCTGACGATGTGAATCCATCAACACACCTTAAGTTTCACTTTAACAACTTTGACCATTACTTTAGTTTTTATATGACATACACTTCTAGTAATGAGTGAAGCGTTTATATGTATTAATTTCGACCAGATTATGTGAACTGCATATATTCTAATCCTCAATTGGAGGAAAAAAAAAAAAAGCATCGCCAGTGGGCTCCGGCAACACTAAATCCCTGAGCTTGCCTTAGAGGAGGTAAATGCACAAACTTCCTATTTTTTTAAATATCCCATGGAGACTCTCATTGCAGCCTGTTTTATTTTGTTCTGAAAATGTCGGCATGCAGCCTTGTTCTGTGGACGATAAACGCGGCGCAGACTGATAAAGGAGAAAATGCAGTGAGTGCTGGAAGGAGCAGTGAGTGACAACAATCCCACCCACATTAAAGAGTCCTCTTTGCAGTGGAAACCCTAGGGTCTAGGTACCATATCTGAAGGTGACTTTTGGTTCCACAGGTACCATACAGAAAGTGTTTGGCAGAAACAGGGCTTTACCGTCTTTAAGAGACTGTGGGGTGCTCATTCTGTAAGCCAGCAGTGAAGGTAGTGGTACCTTGTTTACCTAGATAACCTAAATCCATTGGTACCAACCATGTTGGCATAGCTTGTCGGGAAGCAGGTGCAACACTCCAAACTCCACACTCCAAATTTAGGCTAACGTTTGGTGAGGGAACAATTACCATGGTCATTTTCAAAGGGGTCCCTTGAACTCTCACCTCGAGATATCTGAATAAAAATGGGTTCTATGGGTGCCCATTTGTCTCCACTAAACTTGAGAAGGCTTGTTCCTTGTAAATGTTTTGTTCCTTATAATCAATGATCTTCAAATTAGCTGTACATTTGTCTTTTTAAAGAAAAGGACAACCAGCCTATCTGACGGACAGTGAATCTCCGAACACATGTAAAGATACAAATCACATTAAAACAGGATTATTGTGGAACTCAAAATGTTGACTGTATCAGCATTAGTTTATGCATATAGATAATCAGTAATGTTTACTGTAAAATAAGAAACCAAAGTATATCAGTCTAAAATTCCTTAACTCGGTTATTTCAGGCTTTTGCTTTAGTTTGTTACCTCAAGATTTTCAGTGGCTCCATTTGGCTATCACTTCTTTAGAGAGGAGAATTCCCCTCACAGGTGTAAAACAATGACAGCAAGGTAAATCCTGATCCGAATCACAGACTCACTTTAACAGAGAATGTGATGATTAAAAAGTGTAGTTTATTTACGAATCATTCCGTGTATGAGTAAGTATGTGCACGTCTAAAGCTGTTACTGCAACCCGTCTCCCTCATCATCTCCTGCTGGCTGATATGACTCCATTTCATTTGAGGCCAGACTTGCTTAACAGCCCTTATTAAAATACAAAGAGCCGAAAGCCGTGTAATCAGATGATAAAACTATAATTGCCGTGGAAATTGCTTTAATCCAAGTGTGGTTGTGACACAATTAGAAAAGATTCTCAGATAGATAATGTGACTTGATACCACTGTCGTCCAGCACATGACATCACTCCCTCGCTGTGATGCTGTAATGTTACAGATAAAGACGGAGCGTAGTCACATGCGTCATACACTAAACTACGCTGAGAGTAAAACTTATTTCACTACAGACGTCAATTTAAGATATGTGAGGCCTGGAAAGTAAATTGTGCTGCGACGATTACCAGTCATGCATTTTGATTAAGATGGTAATATGTTAATGTGGCGCTGTTAGCATAATTTTGCCTTGTTGATAAACATCTAGGCCTCGCTTTAATTCTGCTGCTCTGACAGCATTGTGGCCATGAAAGTGCTTCCTCGGCCCCCTGTTTATCCTTTGGTACGATGCTCTTTGAAGAGAAAAACACACATAAATTACACTTGGCAGTGACTGTGATTGATTTAAATACTGCTTGAAGACAACACTTGCAATCAGTTTGGCAGTTCTTGATAATGTCATGCTTATTTAACATCGGATGTGATGCTCATTAACTATTTCAGTGGCCAATCCTGATGACTAATATGAGGAATATTAAACCAGATAATGCATATTCATGCAACAGCTAAGTGATCTTTGTGAATAATCTAATTAAAGGTCCAGGACATATTGGCAGACATGAAATAAAATACAATAAATATATTTTCTTTAGTGTAAAATCACCTGAAAATAAAAAACACTGTGTTTTTATTACCTCAGAATGTGGCTTATATCTACATAGGAAACGGGTCCTCATTTACGGAGATAGCCATCTTGCATGGCCATTATTCTACAGTAGCCCAGAACAGACAAACCAAACACTGGCTCTAGAGATGGCCATTCCCATTTTCATGTCAGCCACCGTAGTAAGAAGACCATCTCTGACAAACAGCATTGGGAAAACCCTGATTTTTACCATGAAACTGCTTTAGTCAGCGCTTTTACCGGTTTAAATCACCGTGTCCGTTTGTTTTGGACAGGAAGAGAGCTCTGTGGATAATTCAGCTCCCGGTCAAAACCTCCCGAACGTCAGAATCTTCAGTTATCAGAGAAAAAAGTTGAGCACATATTAGCAGGTGGTAAGCAAGCCGCCTGTCATGACACACCAAACAGCGCTGCTTTATTCAGTGTTTTTACAGGTTTTAATGACCAGTCCGTTTGTTTTTCAGAAAGAAGAGACCTCTGCAGATAATTTGGCTCCCGGACAATGAACACTGAATTTTAACTGGGGGAGGCCAGACGCCACTAAATTCCCCTAAATCGTATAAAGTGAGCCTTTGAAGGAAAAGTTTAACATTTTAGGGAATATGCGTATTTCCTTTTTTGCTTAGAGCGAGATTAAAAGATTGACACCACTCTTTTATTTGTAAAGTTGAAATGAAGCCACAGCTAGCTGTTCGTGAGCTTAGCTTAGCATAAAAAGTGGAATTTGTACAACCACACTGATTACCTTTAAGGTAGCTGCTAGTTAGTTCTGGACAGAGCCGCGCGAGCTGTTTCCCCATTTCTCATTTTTATGCTATGCTATGCTAACCTGCTGCTGGTTCAAATTTATACAAATCCAAACTACTTCCTTCTCATCTAAGGAGCGTTACAGAGCTTTTTACCTGAACGGCTTGCCACTCCATTGGCCTTCTCGCTGTCCTCCACTTGGCATTTCTTTTTAGCGATCTTGTGAAGGATGGATGCCTTCTCTCGGAATTTCCCTGTAACAGAATCACCACAGTGGTTAAAACACAGAACAGGGAGCTGCACTCCGCAGCATCTTCATAGCCTCTCCGCCTCGTCCCAGTCTGAGCTCCTTCGTTGTCACCTTTGACCCCAGACGGGTCACATTTCAAAAGCACAGTGCATACAGGGTGGCGGCTTCACACAAAACTGCATTGAGAGTCAATATGACATAGCATATCATATACTGATGATCCTGCAATGTCCTGGGTCCTTGGTGGAGGCAAAGCCAGCGGGGAGAGAATCTCTTGTGAAGATATCTGCCTTCTGGAGGTCAGATTCACTCCTGTTCACTTCAGTTCTCATATGAGATCAGAAACCCACAAGAGATGTCAGAGGCTAGCGGGGAACGAAAAGCAACCAAAGGTTTCGCTGGGGACAGCATGACAAATGTGCAGGTTTAAGACAAAGAATTCAAATATTTGAACAGAAAGCATCAGATTGTATTATTATAGGCCTTCTCTTTTTTTAGCTTGACTTGTATTGGAGTAGTTTTAGGTACAGTAGCTGTGTGCAGCGCCCCAGACAAAGAGAAACACTGTAGCATGCAAGAGACATCTGCTGGTGAGAGCATTGAATCAATACTTAAAAATCACTGGTGGTGATAAAGATATTTTTTGCTGATAACATTTATTGATTGAATAACACTGGAAAGATGATGCTGTGAGTAGACTTAATTGAACCCAGTCATCAATTGAAAAACATGATCTTGTGTCTTGCATAAGCAGTGTGCCCTCTTGACATTACAAATAAAGGCTCGTGCAAGGCAATTCTGCTCATGTTGTAATGACTGGCGAAGACCAGCCACTGGGCCGTGGGACAATAACTTTCCATGGAATCCCAATGGCCCGAAATCCCCAAATGACACACGTAGGGACAACAATACACCACCAGGAGAAATATGACTCAAATGCACTAAACTCTTGTAGTGCAGTTTTTTTTATGTTCCCATGTAATACAAATGAGATGAATTCAGAATAAATTTTGTCTAATCTATCATATGCTTTTGGTGGAAAACCTATCCGTAAATAATCTCACTGACTTCCTGTGCATGTCAGTTTTTGCATGCATGTCCCAATCAGCCTTTTGTAATCAATGGGAAAGATTTTTTTTTTTTCATTTTGAGAGGGCATGGCTGATTTGTCAGTGCTTGACACAGTGACGCGTCGATACGTATTCCACCCAACCATGTCAACACTGTCTGTGACCTTCTGGCAAAATCATTAACCACCCTAAGTCACCGCCGGCCTTCCTCCCGTCCCCTCTATCTCACTCTGCATTTCTCCATCGCTCCCATTTTTCTCACTCATCTGTCTTTTTCAAACACCTTCCCTCTCTCACTCTGCCTTTTCATCGTTAGCAACGCACAGCCCCTCCCCGCCTCTCTCTCTCTCACGTTCAGACACACACACATGCGCACAAACACACATGTACTGGACATTTTCACGAGACGGCATCACACATTCCACTGCCTTGATATCACTCACCTTAGGCTGACACTGTCAGTGGGTTGTGTTTGGCAGTTTGCATTCGTGTGTGTTTGTTTGCACAAATGTGGGTGGTAGATCATTGTCTCTGCTTGATTATACAAGCAGCAGGGTTGGGCATTTTGAAGAATTTCAAAAGGAAATTGTTGCCATTAATAATTTGATGGGAAAGGAATGTTGAAGAAAAACACATGGGATTCAGCACTAGTTCCACAAATATTTCCTCAGAGACCTATACAGGCAGAGAACAGTTACCATAGAAGCAGAGAAGCGGAGAGGATTCAGAGTTGTAAGGCTGACCTGCAAACTGCATAACAGATAAGAAAATTGAAATGCTTTTTATTTGAATGACAAAATAATTGGCATAAAACCCATAGTATCTAAATACAGATACTGCACTCTGCTTTTGGGTAAATGCAAAACTCCATGAATCTCAGCTTCCTTGTCCATTTGAACCATTTATTTTTTCTTTTTTAATAAATAAAATAAACTTCATTTTGATTATTTACAGTCTGAAGCTTACAGGAATAAAAGACACGTCTTTTTGTCTGTCTACTATTAAAGGGACACTTCACTGATTTATAGCAAGGTCTGCATCACTGAGGTGTGGGGAGTGTGTGCAAATGAACAGTGTTAAGGCGCCCCCCATGTCGGCAGCTCCGGGAACTCCCTGCCCTTGTTGCGTGATGTTTAATGTGTCATTTTGGATCATCAGTGAAACGTTTCGTGCCATTAAGTGTTGTATACAAGACCACCTAAACCGAGACCAAGTCATGACAAAGGTTAGGGTGTATCGAAACTGAGACAAGACCAAGATTTTAAAGTGTTAAGACAAAGTCAAGACCTGGCCCAGACCGGTGCGAGTTCCACACTGCATGACACACTTATGATATAATGTGGAACATGGAAATCATAGGCACTCCTCAATTTCTCAGCATTCACCTCTTCCATTGCCATACTGTATGTGCGTACAAAGCAGTGTACCACAAGAAAAGATCAAAAGACTTCGAAGAGATTTTTAGCTGGTGGATGGGCGGGGAGCTCTGGGTGCTGGTGGCACAGATGGCACCTTAACACCATTTATCTGTACCCCACCTTGATGACACAGACCTGGTTGAAAGTTGGCAAAGTATATCTTTGATACTTACACTAACATCAGCTAAAGAATAAACTGATAATTTATGCATTTAGATATGTATTTCAATATGTATTTTCAGATTGCGTGAATACCACTAGTCAGATGCTGAGATCTGCTAAGCTAGTTAGCTTTAGCAGGAGTTTAGCTGGAATATTTTTCTCCATCATGCCTGGATCTAGCTACTGCCTCATTTAGGTAGTTATGTGGAATAACTAAGAGTAACTAACAGAGTTCATCACAATGGATATTTTTCATTTACAGACAACAGCTAGGAAAAATCAAGTTAATTTACTTGTAGCTTTAGCAAAAGCTAGCTGCATCTTATTCACTATCTTTTGCTTTATATTGTATTCTAGTTGCTCCAAATGTAAAAACCTCTTTCCACAGACATGATACATTGCTATTGCATCTTTATTATTAAACTAATGACAAAAATATGTTACTATGTTTTGCCTGGGTATGATTTGAAATTTCACAATGCTTTAAGCTCTGAGGGCAAACATAAAAGAAACATGACAGATCCAATTTGCACAATGAAGCTATTGCAGAGTCTTTAAGAATAACCAAGTCCAGCCCTTCCCTAACCGTCGTCATTTTCCCTGTCAGCTCTGCCTGTTATGCAACCACTGGGTGGATGAGTCACTCCAGTTTGCCAAATTCAGCAACGTACGTCTTACATGTGTGCACCCGCTGCTGGTGCAAGTGGAACCTCCAAGTGAGCGCTGAGGCATGGATGATGTATTTCTCAGCGATGCAGATGGGTAACAGGGCCGAAGGAAAAAAAAAAAGAAGATAAAGAAAAAAGAAAACCTTGTGCTTTGTGTTTGCAGGGGATGGTATGCTGTGCATTTGTGTGTGGTTTTACCTGTCTTAAAATGTTCTCAATTCTGACTAAGAATCCAAATAAGAAGCAGTGGCTTTCTCACAGAATCAAACACAACCAACACATGACTGCAATTTTCTCAGTTTCTTTCATATATCTTGTTAATGAATAGAATAAAAATCCATAGAAGCACTTCACACAGTAACACACAATATGTACATATTCTTTGGGCAGAAATACAGAAAAAAAGCCAAAATAAAAAGTAGAATAATAAAAAGAGAATAAAAAGTAAATTTTTAAAAATGGCATGGCTACCATGATTTGCACTTATGTCAGTGAAATCTCAGAGAGGTTGTCAAACGTAAAAACCAAAATTGTACAAAATGTATGTCGCAAGCAAACGAATAAACAAACAAAAAAAATGGGGTTGGAAGCGCTGATATATGATTGAAATGGAGAAAAACCAAGAGGGATGACAGAAGCTGACTCAAAGAATCAAGTGAAAACTTTCAGGCTTACCTTCCTCAGTCATTGAGTGATAATATTTTAGTTTCCCATAAGTCCCAAGCTCTACAACATCACAGCAAAAGACAAGGGTAAGGCAACGAACACACAGAGAAAAGGAAAAGATTGAACATGACAGAACAACACAGGTCCGCTGGTTCTACATCACATACTGTACAGACACTCACACGGGCACAAGGAGTGACATACAGAAAGACAAAGTCTCTCAGAGTCATCGCTGCATAAGTGCAAAACAGAGCGGCAAGGCTTGAATTACAAATAAAATACATTATATTATTACAGTAACCCAGTCTGATAAAGAGCCTGCCAATGGCACAGGTTAGACGGCTATTAGAGAAGACTTGCGAGAACAGGGGGAGGGGGGAGGGGCTGTCGGTATACTAGAAAAAAAATAAGAGGTTCATACAATGATATATTAAAAAACAAACAGAACGGAAAAGTCAGAAAGAGAATTTACTGGGTCAACATGCAACAAAAAGATGAGTCCTCCTCTCCTCTGCACGCAAGCTTATTCAAAGGCTTGATGATTCGGCATTTTATTTCCACAATGAAACCTGAACAATTAATTTGATTCCCTTACTGTAGCAGTTCTTCTTGCCACAGTAAATAGACGGTCAGCACATCTGCATGATGAATTAGCCGGGAATTCAAACCTGCAGCAACAGCTGAACGTGAAGCAGCAGGACAGAAGACACCTGACCACCAGACTCGACCTCCCCCTCACTGCACTTTGGCTTGGAAAGTTGCCTAAGGATTTCATTTTTCAGCAGTGTTCTGTCCAGTTTTCTCCTCCAGATACTAGTAGAGCTGCTACAAATATGATTTAAAATACTGTTGTGATGCACTGATGTCTATGGCAAAATAAACCTACAGTATTTTCTCAAGAATAAAATCCACTTTTCATCCAAATAACAACATATATTTCTTTCATTTGGCTCAATCTAGCTGTGAAGAAATACACAGCTAGATACAGAACATCGGTACAGGAAAAGTCCCTATAAAAATGGTTGATGGTATGTTCTGTGTGTGCAATGGCGACTCACTGCTTGGACCAAATCCAAAGCTATCTGCATGGCTTGATACCATTAGAAACATGATACAATATTCTCACTTATCTTCGGTGGTTGCTTAATATTTATTTTGAAAGTTGACTCATGAGGTCAGCACTACAAATTATATATGCTAAGCAGGCCTCCAGGAAAGCAGCTCAGCCTCACTTACGATTCTTCCCAGTGGCCACTCGCGGTATTGTAGCCAATGAATCCTCTAGGACCCAAAAAACATTTTCCCCATAGACCACGACTGTTAAAGAGATGTCTGTAAAACAGCAGACAGGACACCTTGAACGGCAAACAAAGCCAATTATGAATCTTAATATTCTCAATTTTTGATCCATGGAACCCTAACCCTAACCCTTGTGTTGTACACCATTGATATGATTGGATATGGCACCTCCTTGAAGTATACCCAAAAGCTAGAAACTTTTCTTGGCATATGCGCCAGGCGACCAGTTTCAATGGACTGAACAGACGCCATCTCCAGTCTCGTCATCATTATGCATCTTTGGTGCTAAGCCACTCTTGGAAACATCCGGTCTACCTACTTTCTCCTATTTCAAGCCTCTATTAGACCAGATCGTCATGGTGATGGAGTACCAAGAGGCTGATCCGAACTTGGCAAACTGTATTTTCCAGGAATAACTCAGGGCACGTGCAGCAGGGGCTGTGCGTAGGGCACACCAAAACAGCCCGGCATGATCGTCATCAATCCTGATTATACATACTGCATTAACTCCTCCAATTAGGGCCCTCTCAGACGCAACACGGTATGAGTTGCACTGCCGATGGTTTCAGTGAACACGATGCAACCGCAGCGTGAGATCACCAAGCGCTACACTCATGCGTATAGGTTAATATTGAAGTTATTAATATCGTCAATTGTCTCTGCTGAGCACATTTTTTTTGAAACTTAAGCTCATTAAAACATACCTGCGCACAACAATAAGACAGGAACATCTGGTGGTCTTCCTGTCATCAGCATCGATGCAGAACTCGCTCAGAAGCCGTCATATAATGACCTCATTAACCACCTTGCAGCCAAATAATGCAGACATGTGCCTCTGTAGAGCCTCCCGCAACTGCTGAGAAATGCCTGTTCTAATACACTGTGCAGACCTTTCTTGGAAAAAGAAAGACTTCCTGGTTATAAAAAGGTTAAGACAATTAAATATGTTTTGTTATTTGGGTAAACTGGCCCATCAACTCTCTTCACAGGCACAGATTTCTAGTTTCATACAAGTTTTGTGCATGTAGTAGGTGTAAAGTACAGTATGCCCACACCCACATGCACTCACACTAATATACAACTCTGCCCAACAGTGGGCGATCACTCCACTCACATGTGAGTGATTATGGTGTGAATCACATGCCAAATGCGAGACTTGGCAGCCCTGAAAACACAATCTAATGAGATGAAAACACATCCTGTTGCAGAGTGTCTTGCTCATCTGCTGCACTCCCAGACAAGTGCCTCAATCCCATGTGATTAGGCGATTTGGGTTTGAAGTGCACCATCACTGTAAGGCCGGCCTCTGAGGGCAATTAACGCACGACACAATCGCCGCCCGGCCCGCACGCTCGCCTGTTTGCTCTCTGCAGCCAGAGAGACAGAGAGGGAGGCTTGTTGTTGTTTACCAGGGGCCCTCTTGTCCTTGCGGTGTGACCTCTAAACCTCTGGTGAGCTGTGTGCTAGAAGTGTGTGTGTGTGTGTGTGCCCGCTCTGTCTGCTGGGGGTTGGGGTGTCAGGGAAATTCACAGCCTGTGCTGGAGCAAAAAGGCTTTTAACATTGATTCTTTCACCCACCCGGCGCAGGGTGAGCTCAGAGGGCGCAGGAGGGGGTGTTACGTGTATGTGTGTGTGTGTGTGTGCGAGTGTGTGTGTTGAGGGATAATGGGTTGATAGGTGCTGGTCGGCTAGTCACAGTTACATAACATACTGGTAGTACGATTATCTATCAAAAGAAAATTTAGGGGACATGTTTTTAAAGGCCGTATTTACTGGATAAAGTGTGGTGCCTCTGCACAATCGTTTTTGAGAAACACACTACTTTGTAGATGAGAAGATCGATACCTTTCCCATTTCTCGAAATGCTAAACTATTCCCTTAAGAAATATACAGAATATTTATTAACGTAGGTGCAGAATTCTGGGGTGGGTACAGGGGTACATCCCCCTCAATATTTAGAACATGCTTTTGTTTTCCTCAATAAAAACATGACGGTAGCAGAAAACTTCTAATTTGTCAAAATTAGACATTCACACTATAAATTGATTCACGAAGATGCAGGAAATTAAGTTTCTGAAGCTCAAAATTTTCTGGTGGAGGACCCGACACACCCTAGCATGTTTTCATTCCCAACTTGTCACATATCGCCACTTGGTCAGTGGATTTTCACATCTACATAAGACACACTAGGTACCCTGGGTTCATCCACTGTTGACATTTTGGGGCACTGTATCAGTTTACGGTTGTTAAAGCATTTTGTTAATTCAAAATTTACAGTCAATTTCACAGGAAATGTACAGTTTCTGCTTGTTCTATGCATACTTTGAACAAGTTTTCAAAATACACAAAATAAAGCATCTCATATTTACGTTTATCTCCTTGTGCAACAAACGTCCATGGTTAGGTTTAGAAAAAAACACCATGGTTCGGCTCAACATTCATACGGGAAGCAAACACCAGGCTCCCAGATGAAAGTCCGGTGTTTGGTGGACCCATCCACCAATCCTCTCATCCACCCTATTGGGACTTCCCAGCTCCTTAAATTATGTTATGAATATTTCATTAATAATAATCTTGTTATAGCGCAAATACAGTATATTATTCATTCCATTTTAAAGATGCTTAAAATGTTTTAGCAGCAGTGTAACCATGAAAGAAATTATTAAAAAGCTACAGCACAACGTCAATATTTTATCTGTATGAATGGAAAATATATTTCCATTGCACATTGGTTGGGAGGTCAGTGACAGTGAGTGCATTATTGAACCATGTTATCAATGGGGCTGGGTCACCACAAAGGCTGCTGGTGGGGGGGCAGCAGCAGTATGGGGCAGGATGAATGGATTCACCTCTTGCACTAAATGGCTGTGACAATAATGTAAAGTCATCGCGTAGAACAATCAGACCCTAAAGTTATTTTGATATCCTTTATTGTTTCCTTGTTTGCTTAATTCATTTCGTCCTTTTAGAGTATAAATTATGTCCTCGCAAAATTAAATACACACATAAAGCTCATTTGCTGCCCTTGAGCTCATTTCCTTCCGTGCCTGCCATCAGAAACTTCCAATGAAACAGCTGGCCGCATCCTCATTTGCCTCACCAGTTTACTCAATAAGTGTACTGTCTGCCAACACGGGTGTATCATGGTTTACCCAAATGACCTTGTCCTCTCGATGCCCAGCCCGTGGAGGTCCTTGGTACGGAGTCTGCTCAATAAAATTGGCCCAGCATTAACAAAGATGCATGGTGAGCGATCTTTCCAGTCGGTGAGATAATGAGCTGCAGGAAAGCATCTGATGAGATCACTGGTCTGTGCCGCCATATTTATAGTGGCGTACTGAACTTTATTATCAGCAGTTAATTTTATGTAGACAGGGGGGGCTGTCAGATATTTAAAATAAACAACAAGGTGAATAATTAATCCTAGGTCGAGTAGATTATTGTTAAAAATCTATGCAGTCCAAACGTGTACTACTACTATGGATACACCGATACCACTGTTACTTTGTTTTTGTCTTTATTTATTTCCCCTTCTGTGCCTGGGTAACAACAAAATCTTCATTATATTTTTTTTTTTTAAAACTCATTCAGCCTTTCATTACACTACCTTTGAATGTGCACTAATGCAATCCCACAAATTTATTAATCCTTTAATGTAACATTTCATATAAAACACACCTTTTTAAAAAGAAACTGCTTTAAAAGCCTTTTCTTTCTCCTTCAAACAAACTGTATTTATGCAAGGCTCCTCATAATAGACCTAGGCTATGAAACCAACGACTTATCACACCTTGACGGCACCACTGGCCGCGCACATGTGAGTTGTCGACGGTGACAACGTGTGTCGGCTTCGTCGAGTGTACCAATTGCAGCACAATGCTGGTATATGACAGCAAGAAGACGGGGACCTCGACACTTACAAGGCACATGATGAAGGCTTGCCATGGAAAGAAAGACAAGAGTCAGCCTTCAATGTCCACGTTCGTATCCTTAAAAAAAAAAAAAAAGTCGGGTTTAAACCGGGCTCTGGCTCATAATGATAGTTAAAGGGACGGGCCGGGCTCGGACAGAACATGCACGGGCTCGGGTGGGGTCGGGCTGGATTTTTTAAGCTCTAATTTGAACACATTATGATAACGCTTTAATTTTCCTTCACCCAATACTGAAAAGAGCTTGAACGCATCATACTGTTACTCAATGTGACCTCCGTTAGCCGGTAGTTTGGACCATTCGCTGCTAATAGGTAACGTTAACCAGCTCCCCTCCTGCCAATCTCAACATGGATTTGTTGTTCACAATGCAGCATTATCGGAGAAACAATAGGGAGTGTCCCCTTATGCGTCAATAATGAGTTTACTGCATCATCCTGGCATCCTGGGAAAATCTCTGTTTGTCCCAAAGATGTTTTCTACTATACCTGGGAAAACGTGACACTGTTAGTCCTGAGTGTGACACAACGGAAAAACATCGACCACTGCCACCGGTGAATGTAGTCTTATTTGCCGATGGATGGATGACAGTCAACAAGGTGAATGCCTAATCTCACTAATACTGATTGGCGCATCCCTAACCACTGCTGTATGGTCTGAGGTCATATACAAGCACCCATCGTCTTCCATACTGAGGTCAACCTGGGCTATGGGTATGCAGAGACTCACCACCGCCAGAGTTCACGTCTCAGGGTGATAAATCTTATTGAGGCGCCTGAGCCAAAGGCATGCACACAGCCTGAATTCTGAGTGCTGTTTTGGGAGGCTTGTTTCAGCCATCCGCCGAGGGCTCCGCCGGTAGAGTGAGAGCCACTCTGCCCTTCTCCCTCCCCATCTCTCTTTGTAGTTCAATATTTGATGCCACTCCTAAGTGATATTGTTTGTAGCTCCACGCTGATGGAAAGAAGAGATGTGGACACTTGTGCCGGGAACTAACTGTACCAGACTATTACAATGTTCTCTCTGATGAAAAACAAGCAGGATTAAAGGTCTATTATTAAACTGACGGACATTAGCGATGACGCTAACAAGAAAGCTGTTGTTCTTGGACCTCATTTGGATGCTGAATAATCTACTGTATCTCTTAAGGAGCATCTGAATACTTAAATCGATAACAGTTTGGTGGGAGCAGCTAATTGTAAAAGAGGGGAACAAATTTGAGTCCACTGTAATTAATTGCTGTCCAACTCTTGTTGACTCAGATCCTGACGAAAGGCATGTGAAGAGGACTACGAAAACAGCTGATAACTTTTCTCCATCTGCCACACAAATTCACAAACTAAGCACAATGTTGCCAAGTTGAGAGAGCCGGGACATGAATCTCATTCTTCTTCCTTCACCACTGGCATGTTTAAATGTCTACAGGGTAAAAGACCCCCACAAGTTGGAGTTGGAGGACAACACGGACAGGGGGAACCAAAACCTTTTGGGCCTCCGCCTGTCTCACAGAGAGCAACAATGCAAAGTTAGAGCTAAAGTTCATAAGAGGAGAGAGAGGATTGGGGGAAATGGGGAAAACAATGCAGAAATGGTCACAAAGGGTTTCCAGGGAGAATACATCCACAGAAGAGAATGAGATATTTGAAGGAGAGAATCTGCAGGGATGGACAGTACAGGATTGACATACAGCACAGCGGCGCTGGGGGAAATGTATACATAGGGGACACGTTGGGCAAGAGAGTTGCGTCCAGGCTGTTGAAATGAGAACAAACAGATTTTTTTTGAGGGTGGGAGGAGGATACGGAAATTAGAGTAGTAACTCACCAGAGTCAGCAAATTCTGAGGGGACAGTAAAAGAAAGAGAGATAGGAAGACAGAAACAGAGACAAGATAAATCCAGGTGATATTTAGTTTGATAGCGCACATTGAATCATTGATAGGTATTATTCCAAGGTAAGAGTTAATATTGAAAAAAAATGGAGCTTAAAGTAATTTGATACTTTGGGAAATATGCTTTTTTGCTTCATTGCTGAGAGTTAGATGAGAAGACTGATACCACTCTCATGTCTGTCCCAGTGACTCTATGGACAACACGTCTCCACTTCCTCCCACTTTTCAAAAATGAAGCCCTAATATCCTGGACACGGCTGCTGCCATCTTGTGCTGGTGACATCAGTGGGAGCCAGTTTCCACCATCTGACCAATCGAGAGCAGCGGTGTTAATTGCGTGCACTCGATTGGCACACAAAGTTGTCAATCATGATGTCAAACTTATCAGAAAAAAGAAAATTTGACTAACCATCAGCGTGATAAGAACTACTTTTTAGTTTGGCCATGCTAACATGGAGGGGAAGGGGTTTCTGACCTATTATACAGCCAGCCAACAGGGGGCGACCAAGATGTTTTGGCTTAACTTTTGGGGAACTGTCATGTCGTTTATTTTATTAAACAGTCTATAGTGTGTACAATAAAAATGGGGGCGGGGCCGGGGAGAGCTTAGCTTAGCTTAGCACAAAGATTGGATGCAGGGGCAAACAGCTTGCCTGGTTCTGTCCACAGGGAAGAAAATCCACTACCACCTTTAAAGTCATTAACAATATTTTGCTTGTTTAGTCCATACAAAAAACAAAGTATGAAAAGGAAGTTGTGGTAGACTCCTGTCTCCCAGTAAAACCACAATAAGCTTAGTTTAGCATAAAGACAACTTCCATCTTCACACCGTTTTAGGAGTTAATGAGCTACCTTTAGGGGAGCATTTTCCCAAATTAAAGCAAGCTGTCCCCCCCTGATTCCAGTCTTTATGCTAAGCTAAGCTAACCACCACCTGGCTGAGAGTAAATATCAGAGTGGTATCAACTTTATTATCTAACTCTCGGAAAGACAGCGAATAAGCGTGTTTCCCAAAATGTCTATTTCTTAAAGAGAGATACACATGCATGGCCAATGACACAATGACAGACACACAAACATTAACCAAGGTTTTTCCTGCATTAAACATTTAAAATTATGTTGCCTAACCAAAATCTGGCCGTGTTTACAGATATTAAACTTCCATGTGTTGCATTAAATGTATTACTGCCAGCTGTGACGGTAAAAAGACGATGTAGCAGGATAATACTCTCAATTAAATTTATTTGGTTGGCCACAATACAGATCAAAAACTGTAGGAGGAAAGGAGCAATAAAGGAGTGAAGAGGATTTTAACCAGGAAAAACCCTATAGACACAAACATACACACACAAACACACTCTCACGCACACACACACCCCTCAAACTACCCCCACTCTTAACTTAACCAGTTCCCAGCACTGGCAAAACAACCTCAGACTTTCCTTCGGCTCGGAAGCGCAGGCGACTTTATTTTGAGAGATGTCTATAAAAAATGTATGGACCGAGTCCTGCCAGCCCCCTCTGGCCCCGATGAGCTTCACTTAAAGCACTAAGAGCACGCAAGGACAAACAGCACAGCCTCCGCCTTTGATGGATGCACCTGTTCGTCTCTCTTCACGCTGCTAGCTCACCAACAAAATGCTCCTTTGCATTAATGATATCAGTAAATGTGCATAGAGCACGGTCACTAATCCCGACCTTTATTACGGTTATGGATCAATGACGTGACTTAAGGTATCAAATGAAGGAGGCATGTGATGAGCGTATTTTATAATGCACTCGAGGCTAATATCATTGTAATCATTGTAATGTGTGAAAACGTCCAACATGCTATGTGGAAAATTACACATTCAGATTATACCGAAGCCCAAAGTGTTGCTTTTGTTCTCTTCAGTAATTTATTCAAACCTCGTGTCATGTCACACTGTAGTTGTTGTTTCAGTGCATTCATTTCCAGTCGGTAATTTGCCAAAAGACTCATCAGTCAAATCTGGTGTAACATCCTCACATTTCTGCTGCGTTCATTCTGAAGCACAGTGTGACTTTAGAGCATTTTAAAATACACTTTAAAGAAACAACATATTCATAAACACAAAGTAAATTAATTTTGACATCGCTTTTAGATGCTTTTTAGTGATTTAGACACAAACACAAACATTCATGTACAATCCAGTCTATTAATCTTCATACCAAACAAGCAGTAAATATTTCAGTCTAGTATCATCCGTGCATGTTAGATGCACCTTAAAAGACCACATGATAAATGACCCACTCTTGAACATATAAAATTGGCCATACAGACTTCCATTCCCTCAGCAGGCTGTGATTTACATTTTAATCACTGAGATGGAAAGATGAATACACTCAGAAACAGGACGCCTTGGATTCAGTGTACAACAACGAGTTGATGCATGTTAATGGGCACTTTAAGGCCCGTCTCGGCACAGCTTATTAATCTTTCCTGAGCTGAATCATTCTGGGCTTGGCTTTCAAGGAATGTAAAGTCATTTACGGAGAAAGCTGAAATGCCTCCTCACTACAGAGCAGACGTCTGCTAATGTATTTAGTCTGATCATTGCTTTATGCTTACAAATGGCTCTTTGGCCTTGTTCTATGTGGTATTCTTTTTCCTGTGACAACACTGACGCTGATGCTTTTAATCAAACTACATACACTGTAGATATATTTCTATGAAAACTAAAGGGAACTGGGAATAACACTCACATCATACAGTAAACAGGCATTAGCATTCAACATTAATATTCATTTTTTAAGGATTAGGACTCATCACATCATGAGATACTGCTTCTAATTCAAAGACCTTTCGCTAAAGCTAAAAAAAGAAGACACTATAATGACTAAATTCTTCAAACCCGTGTTGCATGTTTGCTCCCGTTAATGTGATCTTTTTCCTTTGCCTTCATCTCCTCGTGGTGCGTTGAGAATGGGATGACACCGCACCTCCCCCAGCGTATTAACATATTCATCCACTGCGTCGAGCACTGACACTGCCGTTTTACATTTCCTTTAGCTAAGCTAATAGGCCTTGATCTTGGATTAAAGGAAAATGATCTTCCACCTCAGCTGGGCTCTGACACAGCATCAAGCTCGCCATGTCTTGTGCAGACTATTTTTAAAAAGGGATCAATTCAGCCTGGGCATATTGGGGCTACAGTAGAAGTACATTCTAAATGTTAATGATGACACTGTATTTGAAGGGGACTGTAACATGGGGTACTTGTGTATGGATGAAAGCCAATATTTCTCACTTTGACTGTGGACTGAATTAAAAAACTTTGCCAAAAACACCATATGGATGCTCGGCGCTGTTACTTGCAGCCAAGAATGAGAGCTCAAGTTCAGGTCGTGAGCATCTTTTATGTGCTCATAACACTTTTCTGCCAGTAAAGATCTTGAATTTTTGGTTTCTGTACATTTCCGTCCATCTGGAAACAGAATTTAGGTCATTTTAAGAGAAACAGACAAGAATGATGACAAGTGCGAGAGAAGATCAACCTGAAAATAGACAATTACAGAGAGGAAAAAGAACATCTGTGCTATACATCCTGCATGATATGAGAAACTGATCACCGGAGAGCTCTGTGTGTAGTTCGTCTGACTGTCTTACCTTCACTTAAAGGGTCCAACGTGTGAATCATCAGCTGGAAAATGCTGTTCCTCATCAAGCTGTTGTGCAGGGAGGCGGAGCTACCCCCCCTCTGAAGCCGAGGCCTGGCCTGTGAGAGGACAAACAAGGTGTCAATCAAAGATCCTCCTGCCTGGAATGGGAATTTTTTACCTATGACGGTTCCTAGTAGCAAAAAATATTTTACTTCAGTCCAACAACTAGTTCTTATTTCTGTCATTAAGCACATATGCTGATATTAACATCATTCTATCAATTGTAAGCACTTTACTGGAGCCATTTCTAATCCAAGCTGTTTGGAATATGATTCCCTAATCCTCTTTTGCATAAAACCCCTAAGCGGAACCTGCAACCCATAAAATGCCTCAGCTTCTTAAAAAATATAAGCCCTATGGGTTGAGACGGACATTCACAGTTTAAGTGGCATGTGAGTTCTGTCTCCCAAAACAACCCCCGCCAAGGTCACTCCAGCAGTTGCAGCTGAACCCGAGAACTGTGGGAAATTAGGCACCGATGGCTGGCGGCAGCTGTTTGGAATGCGTCCACCTTTGGCTGCCCACAGGTGACGCGTAGGCACAGGAGGTGTCAGGTACTAATTCACAGGCCCATATGGGTGTGAGCGGGAAGGCGAGGGAGACACGTAGACTGGCTTCTCGGTGTAACCCTGAAGATTCTCCTTCTGCTGCTCTCTTTTATCTGCTTCCTTTGCAATCCGGATGAAAACACAACACTCTGTTGTGCTTTTTGGAAGTATAAAAGCATTCGAAGAGTCTGCCATTTTCCAAACACATGCTCCTTCCTCTGTTGTCTTTTGCATGCTGTGTACAAACTGTAACTGTTGGAAAAAAAGGGCTTCAGAAAGCAGACGGCGCTACTCTCTGCACACAGGGAGGCTGAAGGTTACAGATAACAGTGTACATGTCTTGTTCACAGTATGGTGGGAGAAACACAAGTTACACTGCTACGTCTACACAGAAACAGGGACAAACACAGAAGCAGACGGGAAGAGTGTCAATCAGACAGGACCTACCGACAACTTGCCGTCATCCTCCGGCGCCCCAGGACTTGCCTTCTCATCCAACACAGAGAGAAGAAGAAGTAAAAGGGGGGAGGGGGAGGGAGAGAAAGAGAAAACAGGACATTGATGTGAAGCATGCCGCACGCAACCACACAGACAGGACGAGAAAGACGAAAGAGACATTACAGGGGTGGTGATGACTGACTGTGATGTCAGTGGACAAGACTTGAGGGACAGATTCCTCCCCGCTGCTGTGCATGCCTACTGTGTCACTCACAAGCTGTGCAAGACTGGATTGTCTGCTTGAATATTCTTGGAATTCAGTCAAAAATATCACTTCAATTTCACTCGTCTGAGTGAAGGATGTCAACTGAAGAACTATCAGAACTTCTGACGTATCTTGCTACTCACTCTGTAAAAGTAGAGTGAAGTAATGATGAAAAGGGTTTAAAGGAAGCTACTGTTTTCACTAGAGCCGCAGAAAAAATATAGTCAGCCAATAAATTACCTCCATGATGTCTTTTTTATGGTAAATATGAAGCTGGTTAGCTTAGCTTAGCACAGAGATTGTAATCTAGCAGGGGGAACCTCGAATAGGGCTACTGGATGATTCGATCTAAGGAGCCTGATTTCAACGCCAATCTCCGAATTGAATCATCCCAGTGGGAAAGGTGGGTCATGAAACAAAGGATTCTTCCATGCGGGCTACATGGGGGTACTAAATGTCTGATTTAACATAGATTTGCTTGGTCTTAGCCTTTTTTGGAATACATTCATAAATCTGAGCACTCACACAAGAACGCAGCACAAGCAGTGCACTAAATATGTTTCTCTTTCTGACTCTTTAAAGGCCTTGACACACCGAGCCAACGGTCAGCCATTGGTCAATGTCGGGCCTTCAGTGAGCGTCTGTCACCTCAGTTTGTGTGGTGTGACTAAAGTCAAGAGAGCATGAGATTGAAACAAACTTGTCATGTAAGGTAAGAGGTAATTTTTTAGCCCTTGAGGTCTTCGCCAGAAACTGTAATTGTTACATTGCTTATGTGCTAACTGGCTAACTAGCATCTTAAATCTGTCCTGTCCGTCTTCCTGTTTCCCTTTTTGAATGACAAATGCAGCCACAGGCGTTACAAGGTGAAGCAACAGTTGGCTTTCGTCGCCGCAAGTTCTTTGATGTCAGTTTGGTGTGTCTGGACATTAAAAGAAAGTCTGTCTGTTGGTCTATTAATCTCCTCTGCTCTGTTTCAGAATGAACAGTACCACACGTAAAACACACCACTACAAACAGCAGAGCTGAATGGAACATATCCCACTGTAAAACAAGTCCTTGTGCCAAGTCAAGATGATAAATTGTTTCATTGAGTGTTTCAGTTCTTTTGTCTGGCGTGGAAAAATAGAAACCAATGTTACAAATGAGAATATGGATCAGTGAGCAAATAACCCCTAACAAACACATGTTGATGATCAGTCGTCAATAGGCAAGACCTGACTAGTCATATCCGATGATGTAAATTCTTAGTTGGGGACAACCCTAGAAACAGAACAGCAAGCCTGGCTCTATTCAAAGCCACCAAATCCATCTACAAGCACCTCTAAAGCTCACTCATCAACACATTATGTTTTACTTAAATAGAAAAAACATGACTTTAAGTTAACTAACTGTGACCCTAGTGGTCTAGAAACTCTTAAAACTTTGTCCTGCAGGTTCAGTCCTGCCAGTTTTAATGTGATAACTTTGCCTCTGAGAGTGGGCACGTGCCAGATCGAACCAAAGACTTTTAACAGTCACTCAATTCTCTGCCATCACTCTCAGCGGGCCTATCTGGCATGTGCAGTACTGTAACATCTATTTTTGAAACAAAAGCCTCTCACCAACTGACTGAACTGCGCTCTCTTCATCTCCAAAAATGTGCGTGTGTCGCTTAAGGCCTCTGTTTCTAGGAACAAACACAAAGCTTTTGTTCAGATCTCAGCATATCAAGGCTTTGTTTCGCAGCCTACACGGCGTTCAGACAAAAATGTTTAAATGTGAAGTGTGGAGGCACTGTGTGTGTGTGTGTGTGTGTGTGTGTGTGTGTGTGCGTGTGTGTGTTGATAAAGTGCACAATGCCAAACGAAATGCAGAAATTATCCAGTTTGATCTTGTGAGTGTTTAAAAATTCAGGGCAAACGTACACATTTTGAGACACGGCCTTGGGGCTTGTCAACCCAGTCATTCATTTGCATGCTAAATGACGCCACACTGCACTGAATATCAAATCTCTTGATCTCAGCGCAGGGAGGAGGAGTGTGGTGTCAACTCCGGTTCATGAGGTGAAAGCTTACACGGGTGTTAGCATTCATCCCAACAGATTTCAAAAAGAAAATTTAATTGTTTATCTTTTGTTTATTTGCCAAAATTATGAACTCACTAAATCATATAAAATCACCTGGACTTGAAAGAACTTTTAATGGGTCTCATTTTGCAAAAGTCCACCACTGCAGTCACTGTGAATGTCAGTACCCGATGTGTCCCACTGTTTCTGTTTAACAGCCCATAATTTACCATACATTAGGTTTGCCTCTGTATAGCTACAAAAAAATTACAGAAACGAGGGATCTGAAATTAAACATTTGCCAAAGCAGAAGATGAGCTAATCCTGAGATTTTCCACAGAGCTATTCAACTATAACCTCATTTTTTCCCCCATTTCATATCTTCAGGGTAATTCCCTGCACACTCGAGGTATAATTATTCTATTTAACTCCCTATCACCCTCCTCAGAGGCAAAGTCAGGAGGGCTAGGAGAGAACAGGTGAATGTGCCAGATAGAGATTACGACGTGGGTCATTCATTAAGCCAGCGTTAAATATTATGACTAATAATCACATAGGGAGATTAGTATGTTCTCTGGAGTTTGTGTGTTCTCTAATACCGGCGGCTCTGCCTTCCAGTTCTTACGTAATGTCACATCAGGATCATTCTTGGAAGAGGATCAGCTGAGGGAGATAAATGTCCCTCTGCAGCCGCACGCATGTAACGCCATGTTACGGAGAATTATCGATGGAGAGTGTGACATCATGCAACAGCGCTTCCGCTTTCAACACTCAAATTGCCCACAGCTTAAAGACGGAGGGGGGGCGTTACTTTCGGAGGAATCTGAGCACATTGGTGGAACGCTGAAAGCAGAGCTGGAAGGACTGACTTTCGAACATCAGCGGCGGATTATAGGTCTTCTCATATGCAATCTGAGTGCACAAAAGGGGTCTATTTCTGGATGAGTTTGATTTGCATTTCCTTTATGCTTCGACATCCAAGTCAAATTACACAGGAGAATAATAGCTTCTTTATTTTTTCTTTTTTTTTTTTACACACTTTCTCGTATGCAAATGGCAGAGTGTGATTAAATCCATCATAGCTGTGCTTGATCCTTCAAATCCTTCATATACCCTGGATATATAAAGAATTGTGATAACAGCAATCAGCATTACATTTCATAAATCTTATGAGCCACTTTCCATAACACTTTGATTTAATTTCCTTTTCAGCACTGCTAGGTTTTCTGACAGTTTGTAGGGAATTGAATTTCAAAATCTAAATGTGGATCATATGAAAGTAGGGACCATCATCTGAGATACTGGGACCTCATTACAGAAGAATAGCCTAACTGCTTGTCCTATCTTCCTATTACAGAAGCAATTCCAAGAGGTGGGACCAATTCGTTGTTTTGAAAGTCACAAGTAAGTTTTAAGTTTTTGCACTCAGGTCCCAAGTGGAGACTAAAAGGTCCCTAAAAAGTACAGTAAAGACCAACAAGCTCCAAATCAAGTCCAGAATCCTAAACTTTAAATTTTGAGTCTTAAACAAGTCATAATGCACTCTTTACTAAATGCAATGCAATTTTAACAATAAATTTACGAAAATCATGATAGCGTCTTATAATTTGTATTTTTTTTTTAGAATAAGTTTGTTTAAAAGCTACTTAGTTGTTAAGCTAACATTAGCTTTGCATTAGCTTGCTAACTATGCTAATATTAGCTTCAACTTACTGCTCTTTGTGCACCTTCAAATGTTGAACAAAGTTGGAAGTTGTTGCGTCTCTGTCTGTCTGTATTTTTCAACCCACATGTTTTGCATACTGTAATTTGTTTTTTTGTTTTGTTGACCACCACAGTTTTTATACTCAAACAAAATTATCTTTGGTATAATTTTTATTGGTGTTAATACGTTTCTGCTGTTAAGCTAACGTTGGCTACGGATTAGCTTCCTAACTATGTTAATATTAGCCTAGACTTTTCTTTGTGCACCTTCAAATGACGAACAAAATCATTTTTGGTATAATTTTTTTCCAACTGGTGCTCACAAATGTAACATTAGCTCCTCATGGTTCTCTCCTGCAACTTGACTGGAGGTTGTTGGAGTGGTTCAAACAAAGTGGATTAATGCTGCGTTCCAGGCAAGTTTCTGAGCCCATAAGTCACCACTTCAAGTCACGACTCACGACTTCATAGCTTTTCAGGCAAGTCACGCCAAACTCTCAAAGCAACATGGCGGACGGTGCGGGGTTTATGTTTGTTTATGATCACTTCTGTCACCAAAGGGGCCAGTTCCTTGCTCAATTGAGTGAAACGGAGAAACTGCGCATAAGGTCACAGATGCTATTATACTTTTTATTTTACGTTATCTGTGTGTTTGGAAACGTATATTGTATTGATTTTTTTCTTGCACTGGAAACCAGCTGTTAGAGCGGCTGCCAATAATGCGTTAACATTAGGGTTATTTTATGTCTATTTCTTACTTTGTATCACCTGCATCAACACTTCATCTATAGGGCTGCCTTTGTTGTTTAGAGGAGTAAGGTAATTGGTTTAGAGGGCTGTGTGACGTCAGAAAGTGTAACTGGGAGTACATCGATCTGGTACGAGTTCACGGGTGGTAAGTTACGGGTTTGACTGCCGTTCCAGTGCACTTTCACAGGTAGAAGGTTGTAAAAACATGAGTTACAGGTTCCCTGGAATGCAGCATAAGTGTCAGCTTGTTGGGAATGAATAGTTTTAATGGAAGATGATTCAAGAAATGAA